CCCCCCCTCAAGTCTAGCATGATGCCCATTGTTTTGAGCCCATTACTTGGTTTTTTTATTCGTACCATAAATAAATACTTTTGCATCCAGATCCTGTTATTATTGGTCATGGCATTGGCCATGCAATTAGTTGTTGTTTGTATACACTGACAAACTCACAGATAACTATGTGTGACTCTATTGGCTACCATGATTCTGATACTTTAATTTTAATTTACCTAGACTAACAGTGTTACACATGCAGAAATAGGAATTTTCGGGTATATTTCAAATATTTGTAACTGAGAAACTAAGTCAATGCTTTAAAGTTTACATTATATAACTTAATATTAATTGTTAGGAATTTGAGACTAGCAAGAGGAGTTTTAATAAATTTGATCATGCCCTAAATTGCATTTGATGAACCACTTTCTGTAAGATATGAGGCCATAGCCACCCACAAGGGTAAACAAAGAATTGAGATATGGCATCAGCCAAACAGCTCCTGTGGACTCTGGTGGGGCTGCTTACAACCCTTGTACATTTTTTGTATGTAAGAGACTGAATAAAGTACTCTTAGTCTGAGCTACCAGAAATGTGTAATGTAACTCAGCTGAATTTGAGTTTAATAATCCCTAGTAGATTTTACTTGTAGATTGGCATAGTCACTTTACCAAATGTCCAAACATCTGAAAAGTGAAAAGAACATTTTATTAATTGTTGTTCCTTCTACTTTGTTAAAAAAATGACACAATATGATATTGAATAAAAAGCCATATTCACATCCAAAACAATATTAAACCCACTTTTCAGATCACTTAGACAAGCAGTACAAGTAATTGACATTATATGGTTCATGTTTGTTTTTCCAAACACAAATCTTTATTTAATCCAACATTCAAGACTTATGTGTGATTCATCTTCTAACCTCTGCAGGATGCTAGGCTGTCTGTAAACGTCTTTCTCTTTAGATAGAGATATTGTATCTGTTATCAGATTATTTGCTTTTTTTATGCAGAACTAAATTAAATGCCTCTCTGTGGCATCTATACAAGTATAATAGTACTATATGTTGTATGTCCATGTAACTACTTTGCAGGGTGTGGATGGATCTTCACCCAAATTGGTACAGGTCCATACAAATTTTCAGTTTTGCATTTTGCAGTTTTTATGGGTGTCTTTTACAATCAAATCCTGTGAATGGGTCTTCACCAAGTTTGGCATGAAGGTTTGTTGGGTCCATGGGGAGATATATACAAATTTCTAGTTTTGCGTTTTTTACCGCTACTTTGGCCTCTGTTCATGGATCTTCACCAAATTTGACATAAAGGTTTGTTGGTTCCACGTGGAGATACATTGCAGTTTCACATTTTGTGTTTTGCAGTTTTTATTGGCATTTTTATGTTTTTTTACAATTACACTTATAGGATGCAACTTTTTATGTCCTAAGATAACCTTTCATTAATAATAAATTTACATAACTTCCCTCCAGCAGTTGGGTACTCCAGCTAGTTTCAAATGAGATATGTGAACATGATGTTTAACATTGCATAAAACTAATTAGGTTGCTTTTATCTTCATTCTAAATAGTTTCTTTAAGCTGGATTTTATTTGAACCTTTATATAAAGATAAAATAAAGCAAATTTGTATATTTATATACATTTATCTTTTCTTAAAATTATGAAGTCACATTTATAATTTATAGATAGGCACTAATACACCAAATATAGATTGATAGTTTGTAACTATTTTTCTCACATCTTAGTTTTCTTTTAAATTGGCTATTGAGGAAATTATACATTTAACAATTGTATAAATGTTTTTAAGGGTTGAAAGCCAGATAATGTTGCAAATATATATATATATATATATATTTATTTATTTATTTTTCCTAGGGTCCCCAGTGACATTTTTGTTTTCAAATACTGAAAAAATTGTGAGAGTTTTTGATGCATGAGTAAGCAGCTAGTGTTTGTCAAGTAAGTGGGTATTTTCCAGTACAAGCTATTGACATGTCAGATAATGTATCTGATCAACATGATGATTCAGGTGAAGAGAGAGAAGAGGATACTCAAAATTTTGAAATTTTTGAAGACCCAAATCCTGAGACAAAACAAGAGGATAACAATGTAGAAACTTCTTCCAGCCAGCTAGAACGGCAGCCCAGTGTCAGGAAAAAGCTACGAACACTAACATTTGGAAGACGAAGAAAGGGGTTAGCCAAAGATCCACCAAAAAACAGAAAAGGATCTTGGGCATTTAGATTTGGAACATGTTCCAGGAGACCTTCAAGTTCTGATATTGCAGAGCCAACAGTTGGTTGTGGTGCTTGTATTTGTACTGGCTATCGTAGAACAGAAGATCATCATCTTGGAGCAGGACTTGTTTTTAAGACAACTCCCCCAAATCGAAGACAAATGTCACCCAGACGACTAGCACTTTTCAGAGGTGGAAATGAAAAGGTTAATTCTAATTCTCCTATCATTGATTTGACCAGGTTTAACCCTGAGAAATATCCCATTGATGACTGGGATGAACGTGCTCGACAGGAACGTGCCCGAGAAATTCAAGAAGGAGTAGACCCACCACCTGGTTATCACACTGTTCATGCTGCTCAAGTTACTGAGGTGAAACTGGGTGACCTAACCTGGGCACTTCAAAATCAGTTGAACATTACTCCTTATCCTTATCTAGAAAGATTGACTGAGGCAGCTGGCATGTCCAAAGAAATGTTGGCTAGATTTTATGAGATGACATCTGAAGGGTTTCAGATGCGTTTTCCATTTCCTCATTCTCAGGTAGACTACATGCATTGTCTAGTTCCAGATTTATTAGAAATCACAAACTGTAGCTTTTACTGGGGAAAGATGGACCGCTACCAGGCTGAAAAACTATTGGAGAACAAACCAGAGGGCACATTCTTGCTAAGAGATAGTGCCCAAGAAGAATATCTCTTCTCTGTAAGCTTTCGACGATATGGAAGATCTCTCCATGCTCGAATTGAACAATGGAATCACAGATTCAGCTTTGATTCTCATGATCCTACTGTTTTTGCTTCCAGTACTGTGTGTGGTCTAATTGAACATTATAAAGACCCAAGTTGTTGTATGTTTTTTGAACCCATGCTTACCATACCTCTTCATCGAACTTTTCCCTTTGCACTTCAGCACCTCTGTCGTGCTGTGACTGCTAGCAGAGTAACTTATGATACCATCAACAAATTGCAACTACCAAAAACTTTAAAAGCATATCTAAAGGAGTACCATTATAAACAGAGAGTTAGAGTCCATCGTCTTGACTTGGAACACTGATATGTTGTATCCAATTGAGAGTAAAGTTCATTATGCCTACTTTTCAATTTTGGTGTTTTAAAATTAATATTCGTTACTTCATGTTGTTAAATATGCCTTATCTGAGGATGAAATTTACTAAAAATAAACATACTGTTGAATTTCTATATTCCAGCTTAGAGTAGTTATGTTGCTTTTTGTAAGAATACATGCAACATTGGCATAGTGAACAATGAAAATTTTTATTCTATTTCATATGGTTGTAAGTAGCAAACATGCACAGAGATGTGTGTATATGACTAGAGAAAGCCACTTAAGTTATGAAAGACAACTTGGAAAGCTGTATGAGTTACATATTTAATCAAGAAAAAAGATTTTCAAGAATTGAAATGTATAATTGTTATTTCTGAAATGCTTATATTAGAAGCATGTGTATATTAAAGACTTGAAAAGGGATTCATTTAGGCATTATGAAAAATATGTTTAACTTCAACCCTTCCATATCCTGTATTTTAGTACATATAACCGTCAAGTAAAATGATGATATTGAAGTAACTTAAATTTACTGCTAAAGTGGTATCCCAATTTTATAACTTGTTCAAAAACATTTGGTATGTTTTGTTAAATTTATTTTTACATGGAATCATTGGGATATCTACAATATAGTAACCCAGCAAGCACATTTTGATAGCGTACAAGTTAACATTTAAAGGTTGTACGTTGAGTAATAATTCAATTTTTGTGATACTATCGTTACACATCAAAATTTTGAAAAGTCTGGTTTTGTAATTAAATAAATGTGTAATCTCTTGTTTTTTAAGTGTCTCTTTTTTTATGAAAAATCATAACTCCATATTCTTAAGAATCTAATGCAAGAGCTTTCCCTCAACCAGAAGTGCTTTATTGGCAGAAATTGTAGGTGAAAAACATCTGGGATTTATCCAATTTTAGTAAAACATATAAAGGATGTAGCATATGATGATATATGGTAATTACTAATTACAGTTTCTGAATTGAACAAAAAATTGGCCAAGTTATGACTGGCCACATTATCAGCAGAAACCCCATAGTACTTCTTGTTGTGTAACTAATGGGTCCCTTATGTGAGCATTCTTTGCCCATTATTGCATCTGTTTTTACAGACCAGAGCCCAACAGATTTTTAGTAAATATCTCCAAGCTCTGCTGACCATGAATGAATTTTTGATAACTATTCAGCATGTTGTCATTATTATTTCCTTGATTATCTGCATGTGCAAGATTGTGTGATGTTTGACTTTCAGTCTGTGCAGCTGCTGTGAATGTATTATAATGGAAGTTTTGACAACCCTTGTTGAGGCAAATCCATCTATTAAGCCCATAGATGATGTGGCGGCACTTAAGAATAAATGGTGCTGACAAGGACAGTAATGATAGTAGTATTGGTTTTTTACCATATCAGAAGATTAAATACAAGGTCTCCAGCCTCAAATAGAGAATGAAGAAAGGTTGCATAATTTGTTTAATCAAAAAAGAGATAACTGATTCGTTCATGTGGCTGTTGCTGGTAAGATGATACAATCTCTCCGAGCCGCTGTGTCTCTTTGACTGCTGATAACACCCAAATGAAATATGTTAGTATCTTATGAATTACATATTTTAATACAGCAGGTTCTGGACTTTCCAGTGGCATATGCAACATCTGCAAGAAAAAAGTTCTAGAATTTCTTGTTTTTTGCCCTGCCATCCAGAAACATTACTTTGCCTCTGGTTGAGGGAGAAATCCTGTTTTGATTTGGTAATTTTGCACAAACGTAATTGAAGAACAACTTAGAAGTGATTATGGTCACCTGTTAATAAGTGTGCTTGACTTTAATGTCACCAAACTTAATGAATATACTATTAGGTCGTCAAGAAATTAATGTCACGTTTTGGAATACTTTCATTAACCAATCCCCCAAAAGACATACATCACGTATAATAGTTAAACGAACTGCCTAAACATCACGTTAGT